AAGCTATGCCAGAGGCTTTCAGGAAGTTAGGAAAGCTTGCCAGTGCAGAGACAGCTGACAGGCTATCTAGCTCAAGCATGGATTTTACAACACAGCTAAACTTAGATCACCTTGAGCAATGTAATGTCTGTTTAGCACAATATGTTTGTGCAACCAGAAGCACCACATTTCCATATTTTTCTTTGATCAGCCCTTGCTGTTGTTAAGTTGGTATTGCAATAAAATAACTTAGTAATTAACTCTCTGCACTGTTTAATTCTAATTTGCTTTGCTGAGCTTTCCCCTACACATCCCATTTTAAAACTTGAGGGGTGGAGTTTTAAAGAATCACAAAATGATTTACAGCTAACAAAAACTACTCTGTAATGTGGTATGAGTGATAGGTTATAGGGAAAGTTTGAAAAAAATTGTCCATGCATATAATGGGGCTCCTGGGAGCCATAAGTACAAAAGACTTGAAGACTGATAATCTAGAGGGGGATATTTATGAGCTAAGCAAAATTAAAATAGCATCTCTGACTAGGGCTGCCAGTTTCCTACCAGAGGCAGGGCATCCCCCAACCCCAGATCTCATTTCCTGTCCCCACTCCTGTGGCAGACCAGGAAAATAAGCTTAAAAAAAAAAATCAACATCAGACAATGGTGTGATGTCATTTCCAGGTTTTCCGCCAGTCTGCTCTAGGATATCTGCAATTCCTAGAGAGGCATGTCACTTCTGGGTTTCCCCTGGAAATGACATCATGTCATTGCTTGGCAGTACTTTGCATGTCCCTGGCCCCCAACCTCAGACTCCTGCTGGTTGCCAGGCCATGCCTGCCAAGTCTGTCTCTGACACATATCGAGTAAACATGTCTTGCTGTAGTTTTAGAAATCAAAAGGCTGAACTGATTTTAGAACTACCCGAGGTTGTGGTAGAGGGGACATATTATTTTGGGCGTAAACTGAGCTTGTTAACAAAAGAAAGTACTGTTAGCAACATGCTGTGTTAGATACATGAGTGAAGGCCTTGAATTTCTCTTGGCAATCAGCTTCTTTCTACACAACCACTCAGACTTTCTTTGTTTTCTTTAGTTTGCAATAGACAATGCCAAGTTGTCAAATGATTTACCCGTGATCTTTTAGGAATCCTTTATCCTAGCCAGAGATAAGAGGGTTTTACATACATCAAATGAACCTGGCCAAGTAAGTGCGATTCTTGAAGCACTATATGAGAGCTCTTTCAGACAGTCTGATGTTCATTACTTAATGTAATCATGTAATAGGAAACTAATGGTTCTTTTTGTCTAGCCAAGGTTGCCTGGAAACAAAAAGTTCTGCAGTTCTAATCAGATATCAGAATTAGAGATTTTAGGCAGCTGTGTTGGTTTAAAAGGAGAAAAAATCCATGTAAATACTTTTTATTAAGACCAACTAAAAATAACTGTGTACAAACTTAATGGGTTCTCCAGAACTCTTCATCAGGCTGGATCTTAAAAACAAACAAAGAAAGGGTGGTGGGGAGAGCCATGATCTTGAAGCCTCTTGTCTGCTCCTGTTCAGCCAAGCCAATTTGACTCAACAGTCGGCCAGAGCAGCAGTGAGTAGTTTGTTTTAGGTACTTACAACACTCTGGGAAGAAGGTCAAAACAGCTTTTTACTTAGTCCATCAAATAAAATTAATTGGTAGTGTCAATATAAGGATCATTTTTACTTCACTCTCAACTTTTTGAGAGACCACTTTGTTTTGTCTGGGAATAAAGAGAGATTTGATAAACGACTGATTTTTATACCCATGATGGAGACCAGTGTTCCCTCTAAGCTGAGTTGGTGTGAGCTAGCTCACCGTTTCTTAGCCTCTGGTTCACACATTTTTGTCTCAGCTCAGGAAGGAGGGCTCCAGAGCAAACTAATCTATGCAGTAGCCAAATTGCTCGCTCACAGCTTTATTGCCAGTAGCTCACAAAGTAGAATTTTTGCTCACAAGACTCCACAGCTTAGAGGGAACATTGATGGAGACTGTCATTGTTTTTACATGATTCTACAGTGGGAGCAGGCAAGTGGCCCTGAGACATCATTTTTTCCCTTCTTCCTCCATTTTGTTTTTTAAACATCCACCCTGACAAAATTTTTTGAAGAACTCAAAAGCTTGCAGGTTGTTTTGTTTCATTTGGGTTAGTCATAATACATTAAATATTGCATTGTAATGGGAAACCACTGCCATTAGTAAATTGGCCTGCTGAATTCAGCGTTCGAAGATTGCTAGCTAGTGTGTCCATTTGGGCGTGTGAGGGAAGTAACTTCTCTGTTTTAGAGATGGAATCAAATGTGCCTTAAATTTTTTTGAAGAACTCAAAAGCTTTCAGGTTTTGTTTCATTTGGGTTAGTCATAATACATTAAATATTGCATTGTAATGGGAAACCACTGCCATTAGTAAATTGGCCTGCTGAATTCAGCGTTCGAAGATTGCTAGCTAGTGTGTCCATTTGGGCGTGTGAGGGAAGTAACTTCTCTGTTTTAGAGATGGAATCAAATGTGCCTTCTCACTAAACAGAAGGAGAAGGCATGATTTTTACTAAGATGCTGCAGCTGTTTTTCTGAGTCAGACCCTTCATGGCTTCTTTCCCAAAAAATCTGGGCTAGACAATATTGGACAGTAACAGGGATTTATTAACTTTTGCAATATAAGAACATAAACATTGCCTTGCTGGGTAAGACCAATGTTCTAATAATAGCCACCTGCCTCACAGACTGTTGTGAGAATAACTACTGTTAAGAAATTTGTATGGCTCAGCAATGGTTTTTAAAAGATTCATATTTCCAGAATGTTCTTAGGACTGCACCATAAGTAACATGTCATTCAACCCTAATGACTTTGTACCTCTAGGTAGGGTATATGTCAGCATGCTATCAAGAGCTGTTGGAAGAAGCAAGTGTCCTCACCTCAGTCACGAAAGAGTTAATCTGTTGTTTGTGTTTACAACAAATAGTTAATTAGCACAGAACCAATTAGACACTGTGTAGTTGTTCCTGCCAGAGAAAAAGGAGATAATAGTCTTAATGAAGTGAACTAAGATTCTCTATTGGTTAATTGATAATTTAGAGAAAGTTATATGGTATTTGTCACCTACTCAGGGGAGTTTGGGGGGAACTTTCTGTTTCTTTGTTCTTGAGATCACTAGGGTTTTAGCCAAGATGGAGTATAGGTCAAGAATCTAGTTAGAGTCTTTATTCTTTGTTGTTTTACATCCCAATGTAACCATGTCCTTTAGTAAAGTTTTCTATGTAACCAAACACTGCATTTTTGGGGCTCTGCTATTTTTCCAACAAGCTTAGTGCAATCTACAGAGAGGGTAGGTTGCCATGATTTTGACTCATGACAGTTTATGTTGGAATAAATTTTGTTAATCTTTTAGGTGCTACTGGATTCCTGTTTCTTAAGCATAAATTGATTATCCTGTCATGTCCTGTAATTACCTGACATACTTACTTGCAGTCTGCAATATGTTCTTGCCCTCCTATCAACACACTAATGATGTTGAGGAAAGAACAATGGGGAAGTTACTATTCCAGCTAAGTCATATCTGCTTTAAATGACACTAGTTAGCTGTGCTACTTACCCTTACCCATTATCTTAGACTGGGCTCTTTCAATTTGTCTAGTCTTAGAACATCAGAGAGCTGTATCCTGAATGGGCATCATGCTGGCTTGCTAATGTTGTACGTGTAATGGGCCTTCATACTCATTTAAACTGAGGCTTGATTTAAACATGCCAGTGAAATATGATTTTGCACACTTTGTTCAAGGCCTGATTTAGATATGAGATTGGTGAGGCAAAATAGCGTTGACTTTGCACAGGTCTGTGGTCTTGTTTAATCTGGGGGAGGGGGCAACCCATGCAACATGGCTATGCATGCTTAGCACACCGGCACATTGCCTGCTCAAGCTACCAGTCTTTGGTGTACTATGCACACAAAACCATTTTTCAAAGGTAACATCCCAGTTTAAGTGATGCTATTCCTTGGGCTTTCACAAAGTTGCCTGGGTAAGTTCTTCCTGCTCACTTGCATCACATTTAAAGGAGGCCTAAATTGGACTACTGCCTGGGTAAAGCAGCTGTGGCCACATGACCACGGAAATGACTTCAGACAGCGCTGGCTCTTCGGCTTGGAAATGGAGATGAGCACCGCAACCCTAGAGTCGGATTCGACTGGCTTTCTAGCAAGGGAACCTTTACCTTTAAAGCAGCCGTGCAGGCTTAGTTGGCATACCAGCCCAACACTGGCCAAGAGCTGTGCCATGCAAACCAGCAGTATCTACACACAAACTCAGTGCGGGTTTTTTGTTTGTTGTTGTTCAGTCGCACAGTCGAGTCCGACTCTTCGCGACCCCATGGATCACGCCAGGCCTTCCGCCGTCCCCTGAAGTTTGCTCAACTTCATGTTCGTTGCATCGATGACACTGTCTCACCATCTCATCCTTTGCCGTCCCAGTCTTCTTTGACCTTCAGTCTTTCCCAGCATCAGGGTCTTCTCCAGGGCGTGCTCCCTTCTCATTTGGTGGCCAAAGTATTTGAGCTTCAGTTTCATTATCTGGCCTTCCAGACTGCAGTAATTCCGCATAGGCAGCGGCCCTGTTTAAAGAAGACTCCAGAAGCAAGTGCCAGTTCTTTTGTCCCGCCACCCTCGCATTTTAACCAGGCCTCTGCCAAGATGGAGGTCAAGCGTCTAACTTTGGGGTGTGTTTCTCACCACGTTCTTCTCGGATCTGACGATGCCGGCGGGCCTCTTCTGCCTTCCCAAAGGCCCTGGTAAATACAGCCGGCAGCCGGCAAGCGTGACTTAAGGGCACCGCCCAGCGGGCGGAGCGAAGCCGGCCTCTCGTCGTCATAATCCTCTCCTGCTGATGACAGCGAAGGCGAAGTGACTCAAGGAGGAGCTGTCGGGCTGGCTGTCCAAAGGCGCTAGAGGCGCCCAGAAGTTTCCAGCTGGGCAGCTGCCCTGCGTTTCTCCTCCTCCTCCTCCTCCCCCCCCTTCCCCCTCCTCTTTGGCGCGGAGCTGCTATTTCCAGACACTTCCACCCCCTTCTGTGTCCCCTCCCTCTCCCCATTGAGCGATAAAGGTGCTCGGCCGGCTGGGCTGGCTCGCTGAACTCTCCAGTGCATGGCCCGGCTGGCGGCGGGGGTGCTGCTGCTGCTGCTTCTGGCGTTTCCTTGTCGCTCTCTCGCCGGCGTGCCCAGCTTCCCTTCCTCGAGCGCAGCATGAGCGCGGCCGCTCAGCCCGTGGTGCAGCCCGGCGGAGGCGAGCGCGAGCCCCTGCCCCCGGGCTGGGAGGTGAAGATCGACCCGCAGACCGGCTGGCCTTTCTTCGTGGATCATAACAGCCGCACCACCACTTGGAACGACCCGCGCCTGCAGGGGGACCACCTCAAGGTACTGGCCGGGAAGCCGCGGAGCGAGCTGGGGCTGGCGGCGGCACCGAGTCGCGTTGTGTGGTTTCTTTTGCTTCGCGCGGGAAACCGGGCAGGAGGGGACGGGGCAACGTCCTCTGCGCGCTACTGCCGAGTCAGCTGCGGTGTTGAGTCTAGAGGGCAGGGGACAAGTGGCCTTCCGTCCCCTGACCACCGTGTCATGCGCTTGAGCTGCAGGGGTCCCAGGGAGGTCTTGAAGGGAGAGACGGAAGACTCTTTGCTGAGAGCCTGGGGGGGAGGGGAGGGGGTCAGGCTTCACCCCTCAGACTTTGCTCGGGACACGGCAGTGCTGAAGGGGGGGGGCAGCAATCTGTGGCCAGTTTGGGAGGTGGGTGGAGGAGGAGCGCCTCCCAGGACACTTCAGACTTGGGTGAGGGGAGGGGGAGACAAAGTACTTGGCGCACTTCTTGTGCGGGGATACTTCCTCCGTCTGTGGCATTGTAGCGGGAGCTGAGGAGACACTTTCTTTCCTCAGTTATTGGCGCTGCTGTGAAAGGAGGTGGGGGGGGGTCAGTCGAGAGGGCCTGGAGGGCAGCCCTGGCGGAATTCTGTTCCACCCTCCGCACACGACGGCGCCTCTTGAAGGACAGCGGCCGAGCGCTTTCCCGAGGCGCTATTAGCAATGCGATGGGGCAGTGCCAGGAAAAGCCTGCCCTCCCCCCACCCCACCCCCACTACATGTCAATGCAGTGAGGCTAGGAGCTGGCTTTTGTCTCTGACGCACTGCAGTCCTTTTTTATGCGTTAAATCATTTGATACCTCAGCCCTTGCGGTGTTTATTTAAAGTTGGTTAAGTCTAAGGGAGCCTGGAAAGAGACAAACTTCTGATTTAGCCGGCAGTGGTATGCACCTCAGGCAGAAGACAGTGTTTCTTTCAAGTGGCCTTCCTGGTGGGGGTTTCCTTTTCTAGTCTGCCCAAAAAGCAGATAGATGCTCTTGAAATAACACTTCTCTTTGAAGTTAAGGTTGAATTGATTGTGAGATGGAAAGATTATGTAAGAACAAATCTGTTTCGTTTTGTGACTATTAGCCTGTGCCTTAGTTATGCAATGACAACTTGTCTGAACTAGGAAGTTAACAGCCTAGTGGAAAATAATTGTTGGGTGCTTTTTTCCTATTCACTTAACAGGAATTTGTCTGTGCATGTTTGCTTTAGAGATTAGTATGAAACATAAAGCAGTTGGTGAAAGAGTCTTGTTTGGGGAGGAGGCTGTATTCATAATAATCAGAAATAGTGTGTACATATATATTACTGAGGTATAGTTGAGCAGACAGTTCTCACCAGGAAGCTGAACAACTCTGCGCTAGGGAGAAACAGCACTGGAAGGCATTTCAGTGGCTTCACTAGAGCAGCGCATTTGGCTTTCAACCTAAAAGCCTTATCGCTTCAGCTGCCAGGGGAGGTTCTTAATGTTCTGAAAAGCGGTTTCCAGCTGTTCCTGTTAAAAAGTGATGCTGCGCTGGTGGTCAGAGAGCTGCAAATCTGGGAGCAGAAGCAAAGCAACAGACAGATCTTCATTATGGATATATATAAAAAAATCTCCACCATTTTGTAAATATCAGGAGGGGGGGGGGTTATACACAAAAATCAGAGCTGAGGGGAATGCATACTTTCTTTGGTCATGTATACACTGCCAGAGAAGTAAAGGAGGGAAATTAGAATGCTACAGGGCACAAAGAAGAGAAATTGCAATCAGTGATAATGAAAGGTATTGGTTTTAGACCTGCTCTGTCTTAGAAAGGTATACTAGACATAGCTGGTTATTAGGGTTGCCAGATCTGGGTTGGGAAATACCTGGAGATATAGGGGGTGGATCCAGGAGAGGGTGGGGTGTGGGTAGGGGAGGGATCTCAGCATGGAACAAGGCCATAGAGTCCACCCTTCAAAGCAGCCATTTTCTCCAGGGGAGCTGACCTCTGTCAGCTGGAGATCAGTGGGAGATCTCCAGGTCCCACCTGGAGGCTGGCAAACCTGCCAGTTATATATATGGTACTATCCCCTTGGTGCTGGCCCATGAAAGTCTGCTCTTCCAAAACTGATGGTCTGATTGACATATGTGAAGAAACTAGGGTTGCCAGGTCCTGTCCCCCCCCCCCACTACACCAGCAGGGAGGAGAGGGAATAGAGTTGCCAGATCCAGGCTGGGAAACTCCTGGAGATTTGGGGGATGGAGCCTAGGGAGGACAGGGACCTTAGTGGGGTACAATTCCATAGACTCTATCCTCCAAAGCATCCATTTTCTTCAGGGGAACAGATCTCTGTGGAGATAAGCTGTAATTCTGGGGGATCCCCAGGTCCCACCTAGAGCCTGGCATCCCTAGAAGAAACCAAGGAGTGCACATGTCCTGACTTGATCTTTGTTGAAATGGTGGTCTTTATGGGTATATCCTAAGTTTTAAAACTTTGTTGGTCTTAAAAGTGCCACTGGACTCTAATTTTGTTCTAAGTTTTAAGTGTTAGATATAAAGAATCACGACTCTAATTTTTATACTTACTGGCTAATCTGACAATCCAATCCTATTCAGAGTTACTCCAGTCTAAGACGGTTTATTTCAGTGGGTTTAGACTGCAGTACCTCTGCATAGGATTGGACTGTGAATGTCTTTGATTATATATATGCCAATTTTCAGCTTTCCAGATAGCTTGGAAATATTTTAACAAATTGGGCAGACACTTTGAGGGGAGAGAGTACTCTGAGTAAATCAGTGGAGCCCAGCCATTTTACATAAAATAAATTGACCTCACACGGAACAGTATCACCAAGCTGACTGATAATGGCATCCAAATATGCAAGTTAAAGCTATTGAATTTGCATTGATATGTTCTGGAAAATAAACTCTGTTGGGTCCTTCAGCATGCCATGTGAAACATAGCATTTGTTGAAACTTCAAATGATAGTTTGAATGCAAAGAACCATGAGTTAAATGCTTTCAGAAGAGATCTTTCCTGTCTACCCCTTTCTGCTACAGCCGCCTGAACTTGCTAAGTTTCTGTTGAAGGTTGGGGCACCCTTGGGAATGGCATGGGTGGTGGAACTGGAAGCTGCAACTCAAGAGAGAAATCTGTGGAAATCATGCCTCCCCCCCCCCCACCATGAGTACAAATCTTGAAGTTGATCCAACCCAAAAAAGGTCACATATGCTGTGGAATTTCCTGGTCATCTTATTTGGTGCTTTGTCAGTGAATTAGAAGTGTGAAAAAATGTGCCTGCAGAAAGAAGATACCTTGTTGTTAGGATCTTTGTGCAACTTCTATGACCCCCAACTTTCCTTTGGTCTGCTGTTGGGACCAGTACAGTTGCCTTGTGGCTTGCATAAATCAGATATGCTAAATCAGCACATTCAAGTGCAAACAACAAAACCATCCATGGTTGCATTCTAGTTGTGACTTTTCAGTGAACAGTTCTTCTATCTTGTAGTGTTTGCCAGTTTAAAAAATTCACAATTATTTACTGCCCTAAAATTATGCATTACCATTGAGAAAACAAAGGTAGCACTTGAGAAGTAAGAAGACCACATTTCCCTTTTCTTCGTTATAAATTAGGGGTTGAGTTTCATTTACATTTGTTATTCTAAATTGAAATTAGGATATATTTTACTTGACTTACTGATCTGTGGAGACACAGAATATGCTGCTTTTCCAACCTATTGAGGATCAATGAAATGCAGCTATGTGGAAGCTGGTGAAAATGCTTCCATATAGTAGTAGCTCTGTGTGACTTATGTAATGTGTAGGAACAGATCACCACCTGGATTGACCCCATCATGAGAAGAGTCTCCACGGCAGCACTGTATATTCCTGGCAGCAGTTAGTGTTGGCATGGAGACTATCTATGCATTGGGGCTGATCCACATTGTAAACTGCTCCCACACATTGTAACAGCTGTGTAATGCTGTATGGAAATGTTTCAGTGGTCTTTCTGTGGCTGTTTAATGTTTGACTAGATCCCTAGTGCATTGGTGTTCTCAGTACACAGAATATGTTATGTACTTGTAACACAGCACACTGAAACGATCTCTTGCCTTACCAGAGTACCAGTTTCTGGGACAGCTGGGGAGGGAAAGTCCCATTGCTAGGGTATGATCAGGAAGCTTGATGGTGGACTGTACAAAGTGCAGAGTCATATCAACACACTAAGCAAGAATTAGAACAGCTGCAAAATTAGGCCCAAGGCAGGAGAGCCAGCCTGAGATTTCCCTGCTTAAATTTCAAACTTTATGAACAGAAATAGGTTGTGATTTTTATACTGATTTAGTCATTACTCTGAAAACTGTATCTCAGTCTCACAGATCAAAATGTACTCTCTGAGTAGAAAAGCAGGGTAGAAATTTTAGAAAAGAGTGCTGATTCATTATAGAGTGCTGATTTTCATTTGCAGTATTGTGGCCAAACTGAAACTGCAGAAAGGGCCATGTATACTGATGGCTACATCCGTAATCATAAATAATATAGATTTTATTCAGTGTCATAGCCAATCATAAGCATGGTTATTTAAAAGCTAGTCCCATGGTTTGAGTGGAACTTACTTTGAAGTATTGCAAGCACATCGACATACACAGCAGAAGCCATGCACACACATACACCCTTTCCCCCCCTTCAACAGTATGTTTTCCATCTCCCCACCCTACCCTATTCTAAAAAGGTAAAAGTTTCCCTTGCTTGAAAGCCAGTCGAATCTGACTCTAAGGGGCAGTGCTCATCTCCATTTCCAAGCCAAAGAGCTAGCGCTGTCCGAAGATGTTTCCGTGGTCATGTGGCCAGCATGACTAAACGCTGAGGCGCACAGAACTCTGTTACCTTCCCACCGAAGCAGTACCTATTTATCTACTTGCAATTTCTTGCTTTCAAACTGCTAGGTTGGCAGGAGCTGGGGCCAGAGATGGGAGCTCACTCCGTCATGGGGTACTCGAGACTCGAAATGCCGAACTACAGACCTTCTGGCCTTTAGCTCAGCATCTTAA